CGGACGACTGTCTTACTTTGCGGAGGAAACGAAAAAAAGGGGAGCGATCCCGGTCGGATCAATCCTTTTTGATAATGTGGGTGGTGAATGTTAGATTATTCCGAGTCGTCTCGTTGATGGTCGTGTGGTTGTTGTGTTGTAGTAATGAGCGGTGTTAAGTACTGTGTTTGATGCCTCTGTGTGTAGTGGTCTATGCTGTGAACTGTTGTGTGATGAGATGTTGTGACGTGACGGGATGCGATCTGGGATATTGCAGAATGTTCATAGCTCATGTGAACATCCCGGCCCCCCTAGGCGAGTTAATCGGCTAGGAGCCTCTGCAGTTGTTGCAGTGTGCTTAGTACAGCGCTCAACACTGTGGAGCTTCGTTGTTGCTGGCGATAAGCGTGGCGTGGCGGAGATGGCCATGAACGTATTGTGGTTGATTGGCTGCTTCGTCCTCGCCGAATAGAATCGCTGCGTGTTCTGGTACGGGTGTTGGTGCGATTCTCCGACGGATTGGCTCGGCGAGGAAAACGATGAAATAGAGTGTGATGGGGCCTGTGGCAATATTGAAAAGCGCCGTCGGCCCAGCACTCTATGGTGGTGTGGTCATCTGCAAGGCAGGTTATGCAACGCCCGTGGGCTCTTGCAACCTGCTGTCGTTGAGTGGTCTTCATGCTCTTAAAAATGGTGCATCGTTTCAGGGCGTGTGGACGATGGCACAGGCTGCAACATGGAGGTCTCTGTGGCTCCAATAGCTGCTCTTCTCTTATCTCCCTGACTGCTTCGGCGGATGGCGGTGGTCGCATAAAACTGGTCCTTGGAGCGGCAACGGGTGAAGTGAACGCTTTGGGTATAACGATTTCGGATCTTATGTTGGAGGTTTGGGTCTTCTCTACGTCCATTTCTATGGGAATATAAAATTGTATTAAATTGATTTTATTTATAATGTTATGATGTAGTTGTTGCAGCTACATATCTATATATATGTAAATGTAATATTGGTTGATCTTCAATTCGCATGTTTGAGTTATTTTATATATGGATTATGAAGCGGGTTAATTTCGAATTAGCGGAATTGATTTATTATTTTTCGATCGATATCTCTTATGGAGATCTATGAGGTAGTCTTCCTTCCATCTGTGGCTGAATTCGTGATGGAAATCTTGATTCTTTCCCATCGATTTATTAAAGTGAGGGAGTCTCCTTCTGTCTCAGGTATGGCGAGAAGAGGAGCTCGTCTGAGGAAATGACCTGGTGTAAGAGCTGTGAAATTGGAGGGATCTTGCGAGAGGGGTGATATGGGTCTTGAATTTAACACGGCTTCGATACGAGTGAGAAGTGTAGTAAACTCCTCTTAATTGAATTTATGATTACCAGTCGTTTTCTTTAAATGGGACTTAAAGCTTTTTACTGTTGATTCCCAAAGTTCGCCCATATGAGGAGAACATGGAGGTATAAACTGCCAATCAATCCCTTGGAATGCATATTCGTTAACTATTTCAGGGGAGACTTCTTTCATGAAGTTTATAAACTCCTTCTCTGTTGCTCTTTGGGCTCCGACAACGCTTTTCCCATTGTCGCTCATTATTTTTGAAGGAAATCCGCATCGTCCGACAAAGCGTGCAAATGCTGCAAGAAAAGCCGCAGTAGTCAGATCTGAACAAAGCTCGAGGTGTACTGCCTTTGTCGTAAAACAAACAAAGACAGTCACATACACTTTTCTAAATGAAGAAGACCTTAATATGGAGGCTCTATCTGGAAAGGTCCAGCAAAATCAACCCCAGTGATAGTAAAGGGTAGAGCATAGTTGCAGCGTTCAGGGGGTAAAGCTGCCATGAGCTGCGTACGTACTTTGTATTTGTACATGGTACATGGTTTACACATGAAAATCGTCCTTTTGATTTGTGGCTTTAGTCGCGGTAATAAAGCGATGCTCACCATGCAGTGTAAGCTGGTGCAGATATGATAGAAATAAGTAAGTAAAACGGGATTTCTCTGGAATAATGATGGGATGTCGTTCCTTTCCATTGCCCGTTCCATTTGTCCTTATTTATCCCTTAGAGTGTAAGAATGGATATAAGACGTGAAGTGAGCTTCCCTTTTGGAGAGGTCGCTTTTCGAGCAACTTTGATTTCTTTTTGCTGAAATAGCGAGTTTCTGTATAAAATATTAGACTGACCTTGGCATGTTCCCAGTCGGAATGCGTTAGGTGTACGCAAGGATCATTTGGTGCTCCTTTCATTTTCTGTTTAAGTCTTGTGTGTGCATATAAGCGACTACTCTTAATGCTGTAGCAAATGAAGAAAATCGGTGGAGAATATCATCCCCTTCTAGAATGATTTTCAATTTTCCGACTTTCCGGCGGTATTATATTACGAGCGGGAGACCTTGGCCAGAATTCTTGTGATTCTGTTAGCCATGGGGGACCGTTCCACCAGAGTGTAGTTCTGGTGAGGTGCAGTGGTTTGCAACCTCTTGTCCCAAGATCCGCTGGGTTATCTGCACTTGCAACATGTTGATATTTTGCTGGGCCAACTAAGTCTAAAATTTGGGATATTAGGTTAGATACATAGGTCTTTCAGGAATAGGGTGGTTTTTCTAACCATTATTACTATTTCTGAGTCTGATCAAAGAGAAGGAAGGACCGCCATTGATCATAACATCGATTAAAAACGTCAGTATCACAAGCTGGTACTTTTAGATACATGCCTTTATCTAGGTCTTCTTTTGGTGTTGTAACTACTCTGGGATGGGGAGTAGTGGCTCTACTTGGCCTTACCAAACTTATTTATTCAGTTATCATTCCCTTTGTTAACTCATACTGATCGCGGCAGTTATCACACTTGGCTGTCGCCGAAGCTTTTGCGTTTTCTGGGAGTTCTGCGTCGTCAGTATCTAGTCCTGTATCGTACGTTGCCGAGGGCGTGCGCAGAGATTGTTCACACTTTCTAGTTTTATATTCAAAACTGATTCTGTGATGTCAGTAATAGGGGAAACTTGAAATCTTGTACAATATCTCATAAAACTGTCACTTTCATGATCTTTTTTGTTTTATACTTCGCTTTGAGCGTGTAGCTTCTGCAGGCGTGCTTTGTGTTTTATCATCATCAGCCATTTTAGGAATTTCTAATGATAGAGGTGTTTTTGGCAGCTTTTGTCAGATTGCATTAATTTGAATAGAGTTTAAAGCTTCTAACTTAAAGTTTTGTCTAATAAAGAAATGATTCAGAATTAATATTGCTAAAGCAATGTAGTCAAATAGATTTTAGAAAGAGTATAAATTGAAATATTATCAACAGAAGTTTTTTTAAAT